GGGGCGGGGCGGGCGCCCAGATCGTCGCGAGGGCGTCACGCTCCAGTAAGGCCGGCGGGCCGCGGCGGCCGCGGCACCCTCGTCATCTGGCGCGCCGTCCTCACCTCCGCACCGCGGCACGGGCGAGGGGCGAGGGGCGCGGCCACGGCTCGATCGGGAATAAATAATTCGATTTTCACCGGCGCAGGGAATAAATAATAATGTTGATGGAGGCCCATCCCCCGTTTGCCGGAAGAATCGTCGTCATCGCAGATGGGATACACCGCGACCGCGGCACTGTGGTATTGATGTTTTATGCGATGATGACCCCAACAATGATATTATTGGCCTCATCCCTAAGTGCGGGCGTAACGACATTGCCCCTCCGTTTTCATATAAAAATGACATGGAGGCGGTGCCAAACTCACCTCGTCTTTTTCTTCTTGATGCCGTTGTTGTCCGTCTTGTTCTTGGAGCTCTTGGACTCGGACTTCTTCGGGGTAGTCTGCTCGGCTGCCACTGCGACACACGATTAAAGATTACATTATGCACCGCACGAGGTTGAGAACGGAGCTGAAACGTCACGATCTATCTGCACTTCCTATCTCATCATTTTATACAGTATTATTCAGTATTATGCTATCACAACGAATGTTGCGCTTTACTTTTACTGTTCGAACGCCATTATTACCTGTAGGTTGTTCGTTCAAATTAGTTCGCCATCAGTAAAGGTCTGGGCGTACGAGTTAATGTACGCAAGTGATTTCGCCGAGGAGGGTGGGGCTTACCTGGTTGGTGGTGGCCGTCAGCGCCGCCCGCTTTGGAGCCGTGGCCGTGGCCGTGGCCGGGGCTGGGCGAGGCCACGGCGGGCTGGCTGGGCTCCTGGTGGTAGAGGCCCTGGCCCACCTCGTGTAGGCCGGCGGGGCCGAGGCCGCCGAGGCCGTGGCCGGACTGGTGGAGGTGCTGCTGCTGACCGCCCTCCATCTTGTTGTTGTTGTTGCTGGTGCTGTTGTTGTTGTTCATGTGATGCGGCGACATGGAGGGCAGCCCCAGCATCATGTCGGACAGCATCACCTTGTCGCCGACCTGGCTGGCGTGGTGCGCGCGCCCGTCCTGCTTGCCGCCGCCCGCCCCGGACAGCAGCGGCCCGGCGCCGCCGCCGCCGCACGGCCCGAAGTCCGTGAAGATGGCGTCGTCGAACGGGCCGCCGGGCATGGCGCCGTCCATGGCGTAGGGGTAGCCCTCCGTCGCCACGGTGGCCGTGTCGATGGCCACGCCCGCCGGGCCGGGGTCGCCGGGGTCGTCCGCCCACACGCACGTGGACCAGCCGCTGAGCGCAGCCGACACGCGCCACCGGTCAATCGTGGCGGAGGGGATCTCGCACGGCGCTGCGGGCAGCAGGAACAGGGGGCGCTCAGCTCACGGTGTCCGCGAGGTGCGGCTTGCACTGCGGGGCGTGCGGCCGCACGGACCTTCTGGTGCCGAGCGGTGCCCGCACGCCCTAACACGGTGCAGTATAATCATAACATGATCCCAGAGAACACGGTTTCGTCAACATGACATCAAGTGATGTCAGTGTCAAGATTTGTCGTCAATTTTGCATCAAATGGCACCTTACATAATGACATCAAAGCTGACCACCAAATGACCAAACATTGACACTACATCATTTGACGCCACTGTGACCAAACCGTGTTCCCTTTGGTTGCACGCACGGGGCCGATGGGGTACCTCCCGGAATACCTAACAGTGATCGTGCTGCACACTCACCTCCCGGACTGTCGACGTCCCCTGCCGGCTCGTCCTCCAGGGCGATGTACTCGCCGGGCGCTATCACGACGGGGTTGGCGGTGGGGGCTCCGGGGCCGCTGACCACCACGCTGCCCGGCACGGTCAGCACGAGGGGGGCGCTGCCGTCGGGGTGCACGTCGTCGTCCTGGTGCTGCACCTCGGACACGGCTTTGGCCGCGTCCTCCTTCACGGGCGCCGCGGACAGCAGGAGGAGTTTGCACGACGGTGAGGGTGTCGCCGGGCTGGCGGAGGCCTCGCCGGCCGAGGTCTGCGACACGCACGAGGACTCCTGGGGCTCCTGCAGCATGGCGTCAAAAGGCGTGGTCAGCAAAGGTGTTCCCGAGCCCCCCGCGAGGTCCTGCCAGCGGATGCAGGCAATAAGCAGTTGCAGGCTCTCCCGCTCCCCCCCGCACCACGGCCCGGCCCAGCCCACCCGTCGAGGGGGTAATCATACAGAAAGTAGTTGTACACATTTCTATAAAAGTTAAATTGAAAGTGACAAAAAGTTGGCTGAAAGGTTGAGCTGTACGCATTTTCTCGTAGTGATTACTCCGTCGAGCCCACCCCGCCCGTTGATTACCCATCCGCGAGGCGCCGACGCGTCGCCAACACGTCACCCCGTCACCCCGCGCTGGCGGACCAAAGGCCTCCGCCACCGCACCGCCCGGGACACGTCCCTCCCTGCCGCGCTGTCCACCGCGAGGCGACGTTAGTTGGCCTCCAACTGGACACCACCTAGTTTCAATGCATTGTACCGTGTGAAGCCATCATGGCTCTTCCCTATGGGCACAGCAAGTTTATGCGAGATTTGATTAGTGAGTGAGTGCCAGATGAAACCAGAAGATGCCCTCTGTGATTGGCTGACTGACGTCGTCTAAATTACTGGGCCAGGCTACCTAAGTCGCCCACCTGCAGGGCACCTCGACGCCCCCTCCCCGAGCTCTGCGCGAGGCCCCCCGGCTGCCTCGAACGGTCCTGGGCATTCCCTGCATGCGAGGCCCTGCGTGCGTTCAAGTCACCGCGCGCCTCCCGGGCCGCGGCGCCGCGGCCGACTCTGCCGGCCTTTGGCTGCGCCAGGGTTTCCACTCGGCAGTATCAGTATTGCGGGTTTGCCGACCCTGGGGGCCATGACGCCTTAAGGGTAAAGCGAGTAGGCAAACCCGCAGACTGCCGTGTCGTAGCCCTGACACACAGTATAATTTACAATCTAGAAATCAACTTGAAGCCGAACGTGTCGCATGCAACGCTGAGCAGCCACTTCCCACATTCCCGGCGCATTCATTTCCGACACTGTTCACGCTGCACATCGCACTGAAACTGCACTGTCTCTCCGAGCGTCGATCTTGTCCTCGTCGCGATCACTTTCTTTTCACTAGAGCACTTTGCGCCGTCGAACACATTCCCAGGCACAAGAGTTCATCACGATGCATCGGGGCTGGCAGTGTGCACACCTGGGCACTCGGGTCCGCGAGGGCCGCGCCGCCTGGGGGCACGCTGGGGGCGGCGCAGGGGGCGGCGCACCTCGCACCGTCGAGGAACATGGCGCGCGGGGGCGGGGCGGCGGGGGCGGCGGTCACTCACACAGGTGCGGCATGGGCGGCGGGCGCGCAGGTGGGGCGGCGGGCCGCGGCCGCCTCAAGACAGGGGCTGCCGCTCGCGGATGGTAATCACTTGGGGGGGTCGCGCGGGGGCGGCCGGCGAGGGAGGGAGGGGGGAGTTCAGCTGGGGCCCCCCGGCCGCTCACCGAATTGGCGTTAATACAATTTTCAGCACTTGTCACAATCTGGCGTATGAACGGGCCCGCAACTTGTTGAGCCCGTTAGAGACGGTCGGCCCCGGTGGCCGCAGTGAGCGCGGCGACGCGAGAGAGTCCGCGGGACGCGACCGGGACGCGGAGCACTGCGGCGACGCACTTGGGGGACGCGACCGGGACGCGGAGCTCTGTGGCGACGTACTTGGGGGACGCGCGCGAGGCACACTGCGCCGCGCTGCGCCGCGCTGCGGGGACGGAGCACGGGGGGCGCACGGAGCACGACGGAGCCACGCGCGGCGTCCTCACGGATAGCACTGTGCGCCGACTTGGGCCGACGACCGGGTGGACCGCCCCTTGGACTGGACCCGGCGGGCAGGACACGGCAGGGCCTCGCAGGGCTGCGCAGGGCTCCGCAGGGCACCTAGCCGTCAGGCGCGCACCTCCGCGCTGGCCGAGCCCCTCCGGCCCTGCTGCTGCTGCGCCCGCCTGCGCCCGCGTCACGCCCCCGGGCGCAAGGGCGGCCCCTCGCACGCACACACACACACACACACACACACACTGCACTGCAAGGCGTACCTCCACGCAAATCACCACAAACGAGCACCAATTGAAAGCACGTTCACTGCTTTAATCAAACGAATCAAGTGAGAATTGGTGATCCCTGCTGTACCACTTTATATTTTATCATTTTACCTACTCGTCCGCAGAGCGCTCCGCTCGCTCGGCTCGCGGCCGTCCCGCGGGGGAGGGGGTGCTGGAGCGGGTCCCGCCAGCCAATGGGACGCGCCAGAGCGGCCGCGGGGGCAGCGGGGGGAGGGCGGGGGAGGACTCCGCCGCCCAATCGGGGACGGGCGCGCCCGCCGACCCGCCGGCGACCGCGGCCAGCAGACGACGTCGCCGCCGACGATGACTTCGCGAGGCGTGGCGCGGCGTGGTGTGACGCGGCTGCAGCAGCGGGACCGGCGGCGGCCGCCTCGGTCCGGCTCGCCTCCGCTCGGCCCTCACATGCGGGTATCCGAATCAGCCGAACGTCGGCACTGCCGTCGGCCTGTCTGTCTGTCTGTCTGTCTGTCTGTCTGTCTGTCTGTCTGTCTGTCTGTCCGTCTGTAGTGCTTACAATGCGGTTTGCTCCAAATAATCTCAGCCAGGTTGACTGTTCTCGGTCTTCCCTGGGCCTCTCAGGCCGAGCGCCCCCTTTGGACGCACGCCACGGCCCGGTGGAGCGCCTGGCAGGTAGGCAAGCCCCAGGTGAGCAACTCGCCGCTGCTCACCGGGAGGCCTATCCTCACTTGCGCAGGCGCAAAGGCCGGGCCCCGGTCCCGTCCCGGGAAGGGGCTCTAAGCCGAGCCAAGCCGCTTTGCGTTTACTCTAACTTTACGAAAGTCGACCAATAAAAGTACGCGTCATTTGATACTCCTATACCATGAAAATGCAACAGGTCAGTTCTACTCTTACAGAGAATGGAACAGGCCTCAGGAGAGCACAAAACCCGGAACAAACACCCGGGAAAGCCCGTCGTGACAATGTGCTTTGTTTTAGCAAGTGCGTTTCGCTTGTCCATATTGCAAAGCACGCACTGCCCAGGCCTCGATACGCGCCTAAGAAACTGTGCGTGGTTTCGTCAGCGCCGAATCGCTGTGCGTGCTTTACAATGGACAAGCTGTTTGCGATAGAGCAAATTTTAGAGTAGTTCAGAGGTTATTGTCCGATTTGGTGCGTTTAGCAAACCCTATTTTTCTGTCGCTATTCTTTGTTTGGTAATGTAGTTTTACATCGCTATTCTATACTTGTACCGTTCGTACTCCATTACGACGCGTTATTATGCTGTTTGTTTGTACAAGTTAGTACGCGACTACCAGTAAAGAGGCCTGAAGGTAGGAGTTGGTACGCAAGGGATTTCCGTTTCGAGCGCTATGGAAAAGTGAGAGAATGCTCCAGCACCTTTGCTACACCATTTCGTAAGCAAATAATTGCAGAGGACATGGCGGCTCAACCAACTGCTGGTGCTGCGTGGTGAGGGTGCGGCTGCGGCTCGTGGTGCGGTCGCGGGTTGGCCTCGCTACCTGTTGTGCTCGCCCGCGGCCCCTTACCGCGAGCGCGGGCCGCCCACTGGGGCCGCCCCCAGCCTGTTGCTTGCTCAGGTTCGCGTTTCATTGTGCGGTTGGCGCACCCTCACCCCACTTCCGCCGTGCTGCTCGTTACCTGGAACCTTTTAGACTAGAGAGAAGGATTCTCCATGTGTTAGTTTTTCAGTTTTTTAGAAAGATGCAAATTTTGTCATTTACAGGTTGCAGACTTGCATTTGCATCAGATTGCTTAAAAATACTCGTCCTTTAAAAAAATCCCTTAACATTTAAAGTGTTGGTCTTTAGTTTCACAGTTAAATAAACTGCCATCCTGTCGAACAAACTTGCTAAATGGTTTCATTTTCAGGGCACATTCTACCCTGTTTTCTGTATATATTTTAAATCTGACTTTCTCTACAAACGAGTTTCCACTGGGCAATCCTTGTTGCGTACCTACCCGTAAGTGTAGTGGAGAAGTGTCCCTCTCTGCCGCGATGAGTCGCGAGCGATTGTAACGAGACCCCCGGGCTGCTCGCCGCTCGCCCCCGGGCCCCGGGCCCCGCGACGAGCCCTGATTCCAATAAAATGGTAAATGACATCGCGTCCGCCGGGCCACGCCTCCGCGTCCATGTCATGTCCAGCGCCGCGCGACGCGCCGGCATCGGAACGAATGTAATCAAATAACGCGATTTGATTGCCGGCATTAGGCGCAGGGGGGGCTCCTTGTGTTGGGGTAGGGCGGCAAGGGGAGGCCGGGCCGACCCGCGCCGACAAGTTTGAGATGAGTCGGGATTAAAAGGCGTTTGGCCGGCGCAGGCAATGCTGTTAGCACCAGCAGGGGCGGCGGCGCCTGGAGGTGGGTGGGTCGCCAGTGCCGACAGGGAACGAAATGTGCAGATTGCACGTGCCACTCTTGCTCGTCATTCGAATCCAAGTCGATGAAAAATAATAAATTTTAATCGTAATTGTACGACATCTCGCATGGAATATGTTCCTGTGCCCGGTACTACAATTTTTCACAATGCCCTTCTTTAGCAGTGTAATGCTGCAGCATACGCCGGATCGGTAGCTCATCTGGTTTACGACCAACCTATAAGATAAGATGATCTGAGATGAACGTACTGAAGGGAGAGGAAAAGAAAGAGGAGGGGGCAGACTTAATTAGGACCGGACACTGAAAGGGACTCCGAGACTCGCTCTCTCACGTTCTCGACTACCAGCATGAGAGCGCGCGGGAGGCGGAGGCGCGCTGCGGGTGCG